GGTGAGAAGAGGGATCGCGGGGAGCTTTGAGAAACCCGAGTCGTGTCGATATAGTCACTGTTGCAAGAAGTCACTGATGGCCTTTGACGTTTAGCTATACAACGCGGATTACAAGTCCGCTCGTCGATGCTGCGGCGAGAGTAAATGACGTTGCCGTAATAATCGCGATAGAATAGTACGTGCAGGTATTATGGAGAGGAGACCTTCTATATACATTTTATTCTTGCAAACTTTATCCTCGTCTATTACACGGAATCTCTGAGAAGCGTTGCGCAATCTCTTTTTTTTTTTTAAGGAGAATTATTATTCCGCGGAACGGCGGATTAAGCGTTACGTTGTATCCATGCGTTGATGCGCATTCGTTTCGAGCGATCGAGCGAGAGGTGTCCAATCGAACGGCCATAATGACCAGAAACGTCACGGACAAAAAATAGCGAAATTAAAATTAATTTATTCGACGCGTATCTTGACGCGAGATGCCCCGCGATTTAATCTAATCCGCGCTCTCCCCCCCCCCCGCGCGCGTCTCTCCCTCCATAATTTCCCCGCGATTAACCCTGTGATTATACCCGGTCGGTTGTTTATTTCTTTTTTCTCACGCTCGGGCAGTACAGTAGTTTACAGTTTCGCTTCGAGTTAAGCTAAGATAGCCATGAAATTAATTGCCCAAGGCAGGCGCTTATAGGAGTCTCGAGCGAGTACTTCGGGCCGAGCAATAGCTCGTTAATCCACCATTGATCTAAGTAAACCCGATATAGCGCGCGCGGTATTACGGAGCTTCGGAGGCGCGCTCAGGACGGCGCATTCGGCGCGCACTCGCGTCGTTTTCCCCGCATTATAAGACGGGCTCGAGAATTACCGTCTCCTCTCGCGCCGCTGCAGCTGCACGGCGCGTTATATCAACGCGGGTGGAAACTTTCGAACCGCGCGGAGAAATCAAGTCGAGCGAGAAGCGGTACGGTATATATCGCGCGCGTGAATCGAACGGATGAGTAAGCAACAAGAAAGGAGGAATTACCAGACCGCGGTTGCGTCTTTCCCTCGTCTCTCGAATCAAACGTGACGGGATCCAATCGATTCCGCGACGGCGGTTGAAACAAAATCACCGTCTTACCGGAAACGTCGCGGCGGCAGCTAGGCAGCCGTTGTACAGCAACAGGCGGCGACAAGCCGTGCCAGAGATTTGAGGTTGCGCGAGACGTTTGTTGTGCGCGTATGTGTATGTGCGCGCGCGCGCGTGTGTGTCTGTGCATTTGCGCTGCGGATGCTCGTTCTCCATTTTCGTTACTCTTTTTGCCCGGCAGCGGCGTGACCCGGCGCCGAGAAAGTACATTACGCTGGATGTCGCACCCCACTATATATCCCGACGTCACCTTTCGCGCGGATTTACTCCATTCCCGCGTACTCCGTCTTGCGCCTCGCGCAACGGGTCGCGGAATTCTTTGCGCGTCGTTGGAACGAAAGAAACGCCGCCCGCGCCGCTGCCGCCGCCGCCGCTCTCGGGGAAGGTAGACGATACGCGTTACATTGGGGGTGCGCGGATGTAATTTATCTTGCCGAGTCCGCGCGCCGCGAGGACTTTCTCTCTCTCTCTCTCTCTCTCTCTCTCTCTCTCTCTCCCTCTTTTTTCTCTCTTATTTCAACGTGTCGTAAATTAAACGGGAATACGCGTGCGATGACAGAATACGTTGCGCGCCAACGACTCGGTGATGAAGTAAGATATGTACGCCGCGTGCGAGCGACTTAAGGGATGATTAAGCCTCCCCCATTATTTTACGGTTGTTAAATCTTATCGCGGGAAGATGATCACGTTGCCCCACTTGCCTGCGGGAGGGAGCGAGCACGTCGTCTCGTAGTCGGCGCGCGTGTTACGTCGAGCGTTATATACCTATGTATCGCGCGCGAAAGGCCAGATACGTATACACAGCGTATTTCGATGCGGTAGAATTCGCTATGTCCGAAATGGGAATGCACACGCACGCGGGTCACCGCCTGGCATGCCTCTCTTTGTCTTCCTCCTCCGCGCATTCCACCGCGGTTTGCGTTCGTATACATTCGATATTATACACGCGCATGATATTCCGCTCTTGCGGAGAGGTCCTCCTCGGCATAAATCACGCCGACGAAAATATATATCTTGGCTGTCTCTCGCCACTTTTGGAGCAGCGGAAGAGCAGCCCGCGCGTTCTCTTCACGAGGACTTCGCGAAGTATACGAGCCTAAGGGCGAAGGGCGAGCCTAAATGGCGCACGTCGCGCCCGAGAGGAAGGGAAGCTTCGGGACTTGGAGGAGACTCTCGGACGATGAAAGCAACGCGGTCGATCGGCCGCCAGGAGCAAGGGAGACCGTCGCACGCGGACGGAGGTGGAAACAGACCCGCAGGCGGCATATAGGCGGGGCGCGGACGGTCGTTCGAGGCTGGAGAGTGAAAGGGAGGGATGTTTTAGGGCCGGTCGATACAGCCGAAAGTCCAGAGAGCGAGCCGAGTGGCGCGAAAATTCGTGTGGATGAGGATATATCGTCGCGCGAGGGTGCTTAAACGGAGAAACCGAGCCTCGGTCGAGGGTGGTTTTTGCCCCCTTCCGTCTACCCTCCGCGCTCCGCCACTTCGTCTTCTCGCCCTCGCGCGCGCGTTCCTCCTACACCGCGCCTCGCAATTCTATGCTCTTTGTAAGTCTGGAGGGTCTTGTGTTTCCTCTTCTCGTCGCCGTCGTCGTCGGCAGCGTCGTCGTCGTTGTGGTCGGCCTTGTGCTTCCGTAGCCTTGCGGCGGTTGACTAACATTTTCGCTCGAGATCACAAACAATACGTAATGGGAGCGTTAATTATTTGAGCAAAAAATTTCCAGCACCCTCGTTACGATTTAACGAGGTACTTGACCGAGTCGAAGCCGGCTTGTTTTATTTTTCACGAGATGGCACATTATTTCGTTTTTTGTTTCAATTGTTTTAAAGTGTATTGGACACGCGACTAGCGTTCGACAAGCAGTCTGCCTGGCTTAACTGGCTGCCTGTCGAAATAATGAAACGCGAGTAAATTTATTACGGTCACTGTCGCGAAAATTTATTCGCGTCACACACATAGCCTCGATCTTAGATACCGCTAGGTAAAATCTTGTATCATAAATTTGTAGATCATAAATCTATAAATATATGATACAAGATCTTATCTTAGATTTTACCGCTTGATATTGCGAATGATTGATTGTTTCATAAGAAACGACCGTGAATAATCCTCTACAAACCGCGTCACCCTATCTTTCCCCTTATCGTTTACAACGTTTTACAACAATACAAATCACTTGTGATCATTTTACCTACGCTTTCCGTTGCTTACGCTTTGTTACGAATATATTCTCGCGCGCTCAATCAATTACCAGTTGTAATTGATTATTTCGAGTACAGTCAATTATGGAACGCGTTTTTGAACGTTGCAATTAATACCAGTACTCTTGTGGCATAAGCTGTTTGTCCCGGCGCGCATATGCACGACGTATAAAATATACATATTAATTTTCACAAATGTTTCCATTTAATATCTGTTATCTCGCTCCCGCGAAAGCATGCGGGTTGAAATAGCTGATCATTATTATAATTAGCTGTAATGCAACGGTAACTCGATGCACCGGTGCAAAAACGCGACTGTACACTCTATATGCATTATTCAGTGTGTAACGCTGTGCCGAAGCGTTTATAACCATAAATTAAATCGGTAAGGGAAAAAAACGATGCGGGTACATTAATATCCTATCTAATTTTGTGAGAAAAAAACATCTTGTAAAATTATTGTTTCTGCGATGTACGACGCCAAATTTACGATAGTACCGCGGTGTCGTCACTCCGGTTTCGTCGCTTCACCGACTCGCGAGAGAGCTTCTCCATTTCGCTCGTGTGTCTCTGCGACAGTCTAATTACATTTCTGCCGGGAATGTGTCCGTGGTTACGTTCGGTAATTATTGATGAACACGTAAAGCCCCACAGAGAAGAGTCTTTCTCGTCGATCGACATCGCTGTGTGTCAGCCGTATCGCACCGCCGCGCGCCACTATCGGCTATCGAAAATTCGCGCAACGCCCCATGTAATCCGATTTATCGCCAGCCGATGCTCCCGCGATTTCGACTAATTATTGTCTGCGTTAATTAAAACGTGTCGCGTACACGGATATTAGGATCCATTAATGTAATGCGCCGTTTGTTCCGAACGAGCGGAACGGGCGGCCATCCGGCGCGCCGGATGTTGTTATTAATTTTAATTAACGATCTAATTAAAATGATTCCTTCGTGAGCGAGAAATCTCCTCGTCTTGGGAAGCGGGCGTTATCGCCCTCTCGGGCGTCCGCTATTTTACCTACACGGGACATTCTGGGAAGGCACTTGGAGTTAAGAAAACGACTCGCGAGCATGCGATCACTTCCGGGTTTGAGTACGCGAAGTACATGTGTCTTAATATATTCGCGAATTGATGCTCTATATAACGTCGCGATGATTCGCGCAATAATCCGCTGGCAGAATGCGCCGCCATGGGTGGATCGTTTTAATGCGAGAATTTCCGAATCGGCCGGCGAGTACCTCGGTGATTTACGCTTGTTTCGCTAATCGCGCGTTCTATATCGACCGGATAACACGGTTCGCCGAGCCTCAAACTCGAAGCGGGAGACGCGAAGCGTCGGTACAGCCTATAGCTCGTCGGGTGCAAAGCGGTGCGAAAATGCGGCGCGCATTATGCGCTTGCACGTACTGTGTATACGCGAGGCTGTAGCCGTTTTACTTTTTAATTAGGCGCACGCGCTCGGCGGCAGTATACACCCGGCCCCGTCGTCGTTCCCATTTCGCCTCCGCCGTGCCGCGTTTATGCAAAGTTGCATTTATCTCGTTATGTCGCGCTCTTGGCGGCCTCGCGACGACGACGACGACGACGACGACGACGTCGCCGCCACCGTAATTCCGGCCATTCGGTCTTACGGCGTCTCGCACGTTTCTTGCCGTGCCATACGTAACAATTAGTCCCGCGTATCCTTCCGTCCGGTTTCCTCTACGAGCCCACGACCACGTAAATTTCCGCGAGCACGTGTAAGAGCGCGGCGCCGTTAAGAAAATTTCGCGGGGGTTTCCGCGGCGCGGACGACGGAACTTTCGGTCGTTCGAAAGATTTACCGCCGCTATCAGGATTCATATCGGTGCGCATGGTGGTACTTTTCTTCTAAGTAGCGAGGTCTTAAATTCTATACGCATTTTCTGCAGGACGTACCGCCTGTATTTCTCGCAATCGATCCGTTTCGACGGACGAGAGACAGAGAGAGAGAGAGAGAGAGAGAGAGATCCCCTCCCGCGTAATTTCTCTTCATAAATAAGCGTCGTAAATAAACGTCCACGATAATTCAATAAACGGATGCCACGCAGCTTGCCGCCGACAATGCGCGTGCGACAAACCGCGCCGTGAGTTTCTATTTTCCGCTGCCCGCTGTTGTCGCGCGTGTCCCCCGTGCCCCCTTATTGTCCGGGAACGCCGCATTTTTTGTATGATAAATTTATCGTCGCCATACGTCAAGGCTCTCTCTTGCGGCGGGCGAGCGCGGCGTATGGAGCCGCCAGCCTGACTAGCTCGTCCACTTATCTACTGCGCCCTTTATTTCAGTCGCAAATGACAAATAACGCCCGGCGTGTATATCTCCGTTTTTAATCGGGTCCGCCATAAATCCGGCATAACCGCGATTTTTGCCGCGGATATTATTCAGCGGGGTAAAAACTGGAGCGCGCGGTCGCGCGCGCGTCCCCGGCAAAATACAATTTGCTGCCTCGGAGTTAAGGACACTCGATGGACTATAGGGGATATCCTTCGCCCGGGATATTTTCGCGCCATTATCAACCGCGACGTTATACCCTTCGCGGCGAGTGGCATTCGCCCATTCTCATCACTTTTGACTACCTTTTTCATCGTCAAAGCACCGCTATTGTCTCACGAAATTCCATTGTTTTATATATCTTTTACGTCCGTGTACAGAGAGCGCGCAGTTATTCCATATATATACCGGATACCGCGAAGTTGCATGTGTAGCGCCGCGGCTGACCAATCCGGTCACTTATCTACTGCGTTCTTTGTTCCAGGCAAAATTGGAAACGAAAGCGCTGAAAGCGAAGAGGCCGGGATTCACGGACGAGCGGTACAACGAGACCAGTTATTACGTGGAGCACGGTCAGTATCTTCTGTCAGACGTATTCGTATTTAATCCACCCACGGCCCTCCCCCCTTGCCATCCCTCCCGGCTCATCGCCGGCGGTCGCGTCTAATGCTTCGGATTAACTGACGGATTAACGCGTCGCTCCGTCTGACCTTCGTCTTGAACTCTGACTTGACAGATCGCGAAGAATCGTTCGCGCGCGTCAGATTTCGCTGCTTCCTCCCCACCGCGCCAATCGAGATATCGAATTATATACGACGCTCCACGCGCCAAGAGATACGATACTTTTGACCGATGTTTTCCAATCCGGGCGTCCGCGAGAGCCACGCAAAAAAAATGCCGCAAACTGCCCTTGATCGGGATCGGGTTAATTTTCGAGGCCCGTGTTGGTCTTGCACTCGGACGTGCGAGTTCGCCGGCCGCACGAGTCAAGTAATCGCCGCGGATAATCCGCCGGATAAATACCAACCGGTGCAATAATCCGCCGGCCTTCTCGTCGAAGAGGCCGAAATGAGGCACTCGACTCTGCACTCGGAAGTGAGCATGGGATAAAGTGGAGGCTGCGGCGCAACAGATTTTACGAGGCATCGACGGGGTATTACCCGTGGTCATCATCGATTTCCAATCTCTTCGTTATTTTCGAATTTCAAGGCAATATAAACATCGATCGTCTTCTTCCGCGATAATGGAACTTACTCGATTTTGTTAGCGCAAAATGACGATGAATTTCAAGAACAATTAGACTCTTAAAAATCGTAAATATTCTCGACATATTAAGTGCAGGCGTCTACAATGAGACTTAAGATTTAAGATTTAAGAAAATTGTCAAATCACAATCGATCATTCTTCTCACGTGAGATGAATAATCGACTATCTTAAATCTTAAGTTTTGTTATAGACGACGCTTTAAAGAGACTTTAAATCTTTTAACTGGCTTAACCTTTACGATCATCAGTTTTCCCAAGTATTTATTGCGAGATAACACACAGGAGTTTTCTGACAGCTGTATCTGAAATTCAAATCGAATGACATAACATAAAGAAACGCTTATCTTAATCTTTCAACCGTGTAAAGGCGCCCCGTCACTCAAAGGAGAGTCTCAAAAGACTGCGGGTGGGCTGCGCAGGTAGCGTATTTGCCGCTGATAACGGCCCTTGTCGAACGATATGGTAGCATATTCTTTTGTGGAATAAAACTGTCGCATCACGTATAAACTCCTGCTGCGTGGCAGGGAGAGAGAGAGAGAGAGATAGAGAGAGAGAGAGAGAGAGAGAGAGAGAGAGAGAGAGAATATATACGTGTGGCAGTTAAGTCAATTTCGACTCGGCAGCTGCAGCTGCCTGCCGGCTGGTTTATCGTGTGCCAATATGTCCCGCGATTGGAATATCCGGCACGCCCGGCGGACTCTCCGCAGACTCTCCGTATTCTCGCTTCGCACCGTGTCCGCGGTATTATCCGGCATCGCCGTGGATCGCCCGGTGGGCAGACAGACGCCGCCGTCGCCGTCGTCGCGTGCTCATTATCGCCCCGACAGCCTCCTCCCCTCGCCCCGGTTTCGGGGGTACTGATAACGCGACGACGTGTCGCGCGGGCGTGCAGGACGCGAGGAAAGCGGAATCCGAAAAGCGCGCAGCTGGAAATGGAGAAGCGACTGGGGAATAATTAAATTATCGTTTTCGACGAGAGACTTATCGGTTCATCGTGCGCCCGACAATCAATGCGAGTTGATATTCCCGTAGAGAGACGTGATCGCTATACATTTCCATTTCCATTTCGGGGGCAAACCGCGTTTTTTCAGCTCCAGGTTTTGTCGCTCTGTATGATAGGCCCCTAAAACGCTCTGCAAAAAGAATTTAACAATTTTGTTACGCGGGGGGCACAGCACGGCGCTCGAGAGATTAGAACGAAATAATGTATATAGGACTTGCAATTTTAAACAAAAAAATTCATAAATATAAACGGCGAATTGGTGCGTAAAAATAACTTAACAGCAGTTGATTGACAGGAACTGATCAGCTCCTGCATTAACTTTGTACGTTTCCGCTCTTACTTGGAGCCATCTTCAGCAAAATGAAAATTGAATTTGGATGGAAACGAGAGATCAGAATTGTATCAACGAACTGCACTTCATAAATGTTATCGAACAAAAGTGTTCTTGCGGCGCGAGCAATCTTTTAAAAAGATCTTTTAATTGTGTCTTTATCGAGACCGCGAATCGTTAAAGCGATATAGACGATACACCGCAATTTTACTGCTTTTAGTGCCCTTCTGTGCAGACCGCGCAATACAGCGTAACCGGTTAACTTTTCCAGTAGTTCGAGTCGGCGCTTCTTTCGCCGAGCCATTGGCACGATTAACGTATATATATCCAGAGCGAGGAGAGAGAAAAGCCGTGGCACGCCGTCTCCAGCGGGAACGATCGTTCGGTGCATTGTCGGATCGAGCGATACGTGCCGTACGCCGACGTGAGCTCATTATCGCGAGTTAGGGTTGCCGTTTCGCGATAACGGCCGTTCACGGCATACGGCTGCGGCGGGCGGGAGAAGGAAAAAGACAGACAGGGGGCGGGAGAGAGAGAGAGATGGAGAATAGATGAGGAGGAAGTTGAGGCGAGAATACGGAATTGCCGTCGGCGGAAGACGCACGAAGAAAAGGGAACCGAAAGGGAAGAGGAGAGAATGGCCGTGGCGGGGCGCGAAGGGATGCCGGGGCGGTTGCAGAGACGCGAGAAAAGGGATCGATCGATCGGATATTTAGACGGGCGAATGGCAATATCGACAACCGATATCTGCTCCACATTCGAATAATAGAGCCGCGCGAACGACGCGCTGGGCATCTCCCTTCTCTCTCTCTCTCTCTCTCTCCCCCACTTATGCAGCAAAACAAAGACCTATTAATGCCATTCGGAAGACAGACAGCTGCTGCACATACGTTTTCCGACTACTACGCGCCCTACCGTGCATCCCTCATCCCTCCCTGTGCATCTTGCGCCCCTTAAATGCACCACGCTCGATCGAACCCGAAGACATCGTCGCTTTGGGTATATGCAGGTATGCTCGCGGGCGCAAGCTCGTTGCGGGAATTAAGGGCGGCGCATTGTCCAGACTAGGTCACAAGGGTTTTCGAGTCACGCTCTCGTGTGGGTAATAGTTTTCCGTCCTTCTTTCTCTCCCTGCACGAAGGGAGGAGCCTCGGGTTAGATTTGTAAAAGGAGAACGAGCGACCTGTAGTGCCGAATTATTTATTTCTCGTAAGGAGGGACGTTGGGAGGATATTAGGATTTCCAAGGCGACGATATTATTTAGAGGCTGATTGAAACTGGCAAGATCCCATTTTGGAGGATCTTGCACGGCGAAATGGCGGCTTTGACCGTGCTCACCGGGTAGTGGATGGCACGTCGTAACGCCACAAACGCCGGATTTGGAAGCCCTGAAATCCGAAACGTCGGCTTACCGTCGCGCGCGCGGCACAACGTTGGGATCTCCGCCATCTGCGATCAGCCCGATCCCCGGGTCGGGCAAACGCACGCGTGCACGACTTGCGGGCGAGGAAACCGACGGCGGGGTTTCTACGTGATTCAAATCTAGATCCGATCCTATCCTTCCCTCCGAGAGTTGGGAAACCCGGCGTACGTTATCGAGCCGGGAGATCCTGGGTCTTGGTAATTCGGTCTCGGCTAACCAGCCACCTTTTCTCCTCTTTTCCCTCCTCCCCGTCTCTCCGTGGTCTTTCTTCGTGAAGTTTCCAAGTCGCGTTTATTCACGGCGAATGTCCCGGAGAAATCGACCGGAGGGAAACTTGTTGGATAAACGAATTTGGAATGAAACGAGTAGAATACGTACATTATATACGTTTTATTATCTCGTTAATAAATTATAAATCACCGTTGCGATTCGTTCGAAAATCATGACGTCGACTGGTCTCGCTGCCGTCTGCTATACACAACGGACCTTTCCGGTAGCATTGTACCTCCTCGCGCCACAATCTGCCAACATGCGCCGCTCTAATTGGCTATGAAGACACTCCTCGCTGTTTTGAGCCCGCCCCGCAGACGAGTCTTGGCACTCGCCGACGTTCCTCAACGAAGGTAGATTATGCTGGCAGCCCTTCGCGACTGCGGGAACACGAGCTCCTTCGACGCCCACCTGCTCGCCCGAAAGCTCTTGTGTGATTTTCTACGTGCTATCTGGCAGACGTTGGTGACTCTCGAGTTGGAGGGTGGTAAAGGCGATACATGATGATATACATCATCGCTGGAATTGGTTTCATTATATTACAATATATATACATATACTATATGTACATGTATTATATGTACATTATATTATATATACATATATTATTATATTACAATATATATACATATATTGTAATATTATTATATTGTAATATTCATTATATTACAATATATATACATTTATTGTAATATAATGAAACCAATTATACACTGAAAATTAGTAGTAATTCCACTCATTCACCTTTTAAAGAGTACATATATATACATCCACTATGTGCAATTTTTTTTGTTACTCTTTAAAAGGTGAATAAAGAGGAATTACTATTCTACTAATTTTCAGTGTATATGATTTTCGAATGGCATATTTGGAACTGTGATAAAGTGAGTATTTCAATGTTTTTTTTGGTGATAATATACTGATTTAAATAGTATCACTGAAAAACAATGAGTTTCATTGTCAAACAGTTTTAAGAACTGAAATATCATTGTCTTTCAGTGATATTCATTGTTTGAATTAGTCTATATTATCACTGCATCAAAGAATATTGATACTCACAGTTTTAAATATGCCACTGAAAAATGATATACAAATCAGTAGCAATTACACTGATTCACTTTTAGAGAGTATACATAGTTCTCTCAACATTTCAATTCCATAATTTTCTTCGATTTTTCAACTCAATTTATTTAATTATTATAATGACTCGTTTTATAGATAGCTTTGTTGAGCTATCAAAGGTGACTCTCTAGATCTCCTAAGTATTATTATATAATTAT